GGAAAGAGACAAGCATTGATGTCTCTTTTTAAAAGAAGCTAACTGGGGCTCTAGGTCCACCACCGAGTACTGAGATTAGCTCTCCTAACACCCTTCCTGTGTTGCTTGCAGTCTGCTTTGTCCAAATATGATGCCACCAAACAGAAAAGAAAATTCTCATCCTTCTTTAAATCTCTGGTCATTGAACTTGATAAAGACCTGTATGGCCCAGACAATCACCTGGTAGAGGTGAGCTGCTTTTTGCTGCACTATCTCTAAAAGTGGGTTGTTGTTCAGCAGACAGAATTTGCATGTCATTCATGTCTCGAGAGGTAGTGGTGGCTTGAACAAGTGGCTGGGAGCTAGGAGCTGTTGAAGTCTTATCTTAGCTTTTCCATTGACTTGCTGGGGCTCTGAGCAAGTGCATTAACTCTTGCTTCAAACTATATATGGGAATGAGACTAACTCTCTGTAGGTGGGTGGGGGTTACCAGCAAGCATGTTGGGTACCCAGCAGGAGCAAAGGGAACAAAGACTAGGGGTGCCACTGAACGCACTCTCCTGTTCTGTGTCCCCCAGTGGCACAGGACTGCTACAACTCAGGAGACAGATGGTTTCCAGGTGAAGAGGCCGGGAGATGTAAATGTGCGCTGTACTGTCCTCCTGATGCTCGATTACCAGGTAGGCTGTTTGGAACAACATTGCTGGGCCGGTAGTGTTTGCTGAGCCCTGTCTGTCACCGCGTTCCTATCTCGTCTTTCTGTGCTTTTTGTTTCAGCCTCCTCAGTTCAAACTGGATCCCCGCTTGGCTCGTCTCTTGGGGATCCACACTCAGACCCGTCCAGTGATCATCCAGGCATTGTGGCAATATATTAAGACCCACAAGCTCCAGGACCCCCATGAGCGGGAGTATGTCATCTGTGACAAATACCTCCAGCAGGTAACAGTGTCTGAGGCTGGAAAATGTGACTGTTTCAGCTTTTCTCTGTTAGCAGCCAGTGATCCCTGGCACTGAGCTCCCATTCCTTCCCTTAGCCCTGTGTTTCTGTCACAGATATTTGAATCTCAGCGGATGAAGTTCTCTGAAATCCCACAAAGACTTCACGCATTGCTTATGCCCCCAGAACCAATCATCATTAACCATGTGATCAGGTGAGACAGGTCCACTTGAGTTCATATTTCCAGGAAAAAGGGTGAAAAGAATGGATGAGCCTGATACAGAAAGATGTTATAACATGTTGTTTTTTCAGTAGCAGTTCCCCTGCATTGCCTGCTATCACTTCTCTGCAAGAACAGCCACCTCTTCCATTAACCAAATCCCCCTTTCCCACAAGGCACTCCCGCGTTCATGCTTTCCTTAGCATTACACTCGTGTAGATAAAAATTTTCTTGGAACAATCACTTGGTCCCTGTGCTGCAAGGCCACCAGTGGGGCTCTGCTGGCTGGTGTTAGAGGCGACGCTAACGCTAGCTTGCCTTGTCCCTGCCTGCAGTCCATATGCTGCAGCGTCCTAGAGCAGCTACAGTTCAGTGCTGTCTTGAGCTACTTGACTGTTTTGGTTTCTTTCTTCTGGTTGCCCTTAGTGTTGACCCAAACGACCAGAAGAAAACAGCCTGCTATGACATTGATGTGGAGGTGGATGATACTTTGAAGACTCAGATGAATTCCTTCCTGCTATCTACAGCCAGTCAACAGGAAATTGCTGCTCTGGATAACAAGGTAGGAAGAGCTCCTTTGTTTCTGCATTCCTCGTTGCTGGATATGAATGTGTCCTCGGAGCAGGTGAGCTCTGAGTTCTGCACAGGAGTTCAGCACGTGCTCTGCGTTTGGAATCTGGCGTGGAGTCAGTCACGTTTAGAAATGGGTGGCTTTACCTGGAAAGAAAGTTGTAAAGCAAATGGTCAGTAGGAAAATTCGTAGTACAGGAAACTGGGAGTTGAGAATCCTATCTGATAAGTATAGGTTAACCAGGGAGTATCGAAATTCTCCCTCGTGATTGGATCTCCTGATGTTTCCCCTCTAACTTTTTCGCCTGTTCAGCAGTCTTGTTGCTGTTCGTCTGTCTTTCAGATCCATGAAACAATAGAAACAATTAACCAGCTGAAGACTCAGCGTGAGTTCATGCTGAGCTTTGCCCGAGACCCTCAGGGCTTCATCAATGACTGGCTACAGTCCCAGTGCCGGGATTTGAAGGTAAAAGCTTTGTCTTGTGTGGAAGGTGGATCCAGTCACAGACTTCCCTCATTAGAACCAGCTCCCACAGAGAGAGACAGACAATTTGCTACTCAGAAACCAAGACTAGAATTGGAGCCAGGCATAACCTGACCTGACTGTACTGAAGTTTCTTTGCAGAAATGGGAGGGCGCGTGGGTTTGCTCAGCACAGTCTGAGCGTTGGCGCTCCCTGAACTGTTCTGTCCTTGGTGCTCTCCAGACGATGACTGATGTTGTTGGGAATCCTGAAGAGGAGCGTAGAGCCGAGTTCTACTTCCAGCCGTGGGCTCAGGAAGCTGTGTGCAGATACTTCTACTCCAAGGTGAGCATCTCTGGGCTGGGGTCCCTCTCCACACCTGGTAGGTAAGAGTACCTGTCGCTCTTTGGGGGCAGATACTGCCAGTGAAAAGTGGCAGTGCTAAGCTTCGCTTGTAGACTCTGCTGATGAATCTTGGTCCCGGTTTGTGTTCACCCTTTTCCAGCTGGGGCCTTTGTTACTTGGACACTGCCCTGCTGTGCCGTCTGAGAACATTAATGCTGTGACTCTGGCTTTTCCTGCAGGTGCAGCAAAGGCGGCAGGAATTGGAGCAGGCGCTGGGAATCCGTAACACATAGGCTGCTCCACTCCTCCCCAACCAGAAGGCATCACAGCTACTTGTGGAGACAGAGAGCTGCAGAGTACGCTGTTAAGGCTCACACAATCCCACTCCGGCACTGAGGCCTGCACCATTGTCCATCCTGGCCTTGTCCCTCTTGGGGCAACTCCAGGACACCTTGGGTCTTCTGGGGTGTGGCAAGCAGACAGGCTCCAATGAGCACATACTTCTACCTGGTTTTCTTCCTGACTGTTGCCTTGTCAGTCCCAAGGCTTCTGAGAGCCTCCCTTTGACTCTGCACTACCTGTAGTGTCCCCAGTAGCCAGTATGACTGCTGACTTGGAGCCTCTCTCAAGTTCAGAAACCACAGCCCTTTCCTCAACTAGCATCTAGTTGTGGCACACATGAGACCTGGGTCTGGGAAGCCTGGATCTGCTGTAGGGATGGAGTTCTGTGACTAGTCTCTTCCCTGCTTGATTTTATAGCAAGGTGCCAGGAGATGTAGTGGGCAGTATGCCATGAGCTGACATACCTCCCTGCCCTACCCTCCCTTGCTCGGAGGGTGCTGCTGCACTGGGCTGCCTCATAGGTCACTCTTCTCCTTGAGGAAGAGTTACTGGACTGTGTAGAGAATTGCTTCTCCCCTTGTCCCTTTTTTTTCTTGTTCCCTTCATGTTCTTTGGCAGGCTGTCCTAGGCTGGGATCACAAGGGAGATGAGGCATTAGCTCAAGGCAGGGACGTAGAAGCATTGGAGCGGTGAGACTTCACTGCACTTCAGAAGACCTACGCTTGCAGTTCCAGCAAGCCATCTGGCTGCTTGTTCTCCCTGAAGCAGGGAGAGGGGATGCAGCAACTGCCCGGTGGAATTGTGCAGGAACGCAATGATGTAGGCTCATTCCTTTGGGACAGTTATCCTGGGTCACTTGCCCTGGGGACCAGAGGCTCCTTCATGTGGATCTGAGGGTGTAACGGGACAGTCTTTGGGGATGGACGTAGCTCCAAGCATATGCGAGTTAGCAGAGGTTTCCATGCTGAAGCTCCTATTTAAGCAGTTTTAGGTTCTGGAGCTGCTGTAAGGCCCAGCATGGATCAGGAATGTACAAGTAGATTTTCTCTACCTTGGGGAGTAGCAGCCCAGATGCCTCTTCATGGAATGAATTAATAGTGAATTAATTAGTGGTCAGGCATAAGAGAATGGCTTCTCTTAACCTTCAGTATTTCTGCTCGGGACTGAAATGCAAATGAACTCGAAAGTTGGTCATACTTTCTTGGAGATAGCTGCAAAATCATGTTACTGACAAGCCCCCCTCATACCCACACCTGTCTTGGTGTGGTTGGGAAGCTTACTATGAATTTGGGAGCCTGGGTGGCCCTACTCCTTGTGTCTGTGTTACTACATGTCTGTGAGTAATAGACTCTCGACTTCCCTTCTCCTCCCCCCCCCCCCTTATGAAATGGCTCCTCTGTGGTACTGGGGTGAAGGTCTTGGTGCTGACGAAGCAGCCCACTGACTCCTCAGGGTAATCACACGTGAAGGATGCTGAATACTGCGTAGGCAAACATAGCTGTTGCAGAGTAACTGCTTTTCTTAACTGATTATTATGGTTTTTTCCATGGACCAAAATTTTTTTTGTACTGTATCCTTGTAGACGTCACCCAGTTTTAATAAAAGCCTCCTGTGAAGGAAGCTGTTCTCCCTCCTTCTGTGCTGACAGCATGCTTTCTCTCAGCAGCTGCTTTGGTAGATGCCACTTCGTGTACTTGCTTAGGCAGGGACAGATTATTTCTTTTTAAAAATTATTATTTTTAAACAAAGCCAACTGGGATAAGGAACTCTGGAGATAAAATGTTCTTCACACTTCAGGCTTTTATACAGTGCCTTCCTTTCATGTAAGGAACTCCTCTGACTTGCACAGTCTGCTAAGCCTTTGCCAAGTCCTTTTGTGGTAAACAGGCAAAGTAACTTGAGTAAAACTGGAAATCCAGTGGCCAAGCTGCTGATAAAATCTGGACAGCCTAGTTTCCACACTCTTCTTGCTGCCTTATAGAGTGGTGACAGCCTTTTTAAGTCTCATGGGCATTGCGCACAATTTTGGAGAAACTATTAAAATTTGTTTGTTTTAAAGCTATGTGAAAAAGGCATTATTCTCTTAATGGCTTTTGATCCTGCTCCACAGAACCATTTGAGTAATTGTTTATAAAAGTAGGAATGTAATGCCTTACCAATCCTGGATAACCTTGCTCTGAGGGAAGAGATCCTCTGCGTACGCAAGAAAGGGCAGTCTGCCTAAGGTCAAGTAGTTAGCGCTGCTGCTTATGCTGTGAGATTGGCACTGGAGTTGTGTTGTGGATCTGCAATCAGATGGCTCGTGTTTCTCACTTGAGTTAAAAAAAAAAAAAGGCACCCTCATTTCTTGGGAAGAGGGGATCTGTTTCTTTGCAGAAAAAGGGAGAGGGAGGCCGGGCAGTCAAGACTGCTGGCTCTGCTGAGGTTTGGGATCTGAGCTATTTCACCTTTGCTTCAGGGGATGTAATCCATGCCTCCAGTGCTGCCTGCCACATTGCCTCCCACTGAGCAGAGCAAGGGGGGGGACCTGGTATGGGATCTCACCCCAGGCGGAGCCAGAGGCGGGCTGGGGCCGCCCCCACTGCCGGCTGCCCTGAAATAGCAGCAGCAGGCTCAGCGCCATGCAGTGCCCCGGCTCCCTGCACCATGGGCGGCAGGAAGGTCTGCATCGTGGGCTCTGGCAACTGGTGAGCACCCACTGCTCGGGCACCCTGATCCCCCTCTCGGAGTACCGCGCAGCCCCCTTCTTCCCTGGTGCACCAGTGACCTGTAGTGCACTGATGTCCCCACTGCTGGTGGTCCCTGGTGCGTGCTGGTGGCCTCCACACCTGTCACCTACAGCTCTGCTCTGCCCGCGCAGGGGCTCGGCCATCGCCAAGATCGTGGGCACCAATGCGGCCCGGCTGGGCACTTTCGAGAACCGGGTGAGCATGTGGGTGCTAGAGGAGGAGGTGGGTGGCCGGCGGCTCACCGACATCATCAACACGGAGCACGAAAACGTCAAGTACCTGCCAGGGCACAAGCTGCCCCCCAACGTGGTGAGTGCAGCCTGCCGGAGGCCTCCTTGCTGAGTGCAAGGTCCGGTGTTCACAGCTGGGCACCCTGATGGCAGGTAATAAATAACCATGCTGGGAGGTGCTGGAGCCTCCGGTGCCCTGGGAGCCAGGTATGTAGCGGCAGGGAGGAATGCACTGGGCTGCCCAGGGCTCCGTTACGCGCTCCCGGTGACCTTGCACTGCACTAGGACAAGCTGCAGCCCTGGCTGCTCTTGCTGCCTACCTTTGCCCCTGCTCTGGTGTCCCACGGGCTGGGCTTGAAGCCATGTGGCTGCCTCTGGGTTGACATTGACGGTGCACCCAGCCTGTGGGTCCTGCTGCCCCAGAGCTGCACCCTCAGCCCCCAGGAGGCCACCGAGATCCCCAGAGAGGCCACAGCTCTTTGCTCTGTCCCTGCTGCCTTCTCAAAATCGGCTTTCTCTGGCTGAGCCTTTGGCCTTGCTGTGCTCCAGCCCCTCTGCCCTGCTAGACCTGCAGCTCTCTGGGCCTCAGGAAGGGGAACTTGTGTGGCGCTGACCTTGTGCCTCTGCTCCTCCTGTCCTGGCCTGGGGCTGGCCTCTCTCACTGCAAAATTGAAGGCAAGAGTTCTTGAAGAGTCCATGTTCTCTGCAGGTGGCAGAGCCAGACCTGCTGAAAGCCTGTGCTGGGGCTGACATCCTCCTGTTTGTGGTGCCCCACCAGTTTATCGGCAAAGTCTGCGATCAGCTCAAGGGCCATGTGAAGAAAGACGCTATCGGGCTGTCGCTCATCAAGGTGTGAGCAGGAGGAGCGCTGCCCTGGGAGCTCGCTAGGGCACTGCGCCGAGGGGGCCTCGCCGGGAGCAACCCGGCTCCGAGAGACTGCAAAGGGTATCCGGTGGTTTTACAGTGCAAAGCCGGCTCCAGGGTTACGGGGTGGTACGAGGAGGCGCGGGCAGAGGGGGACGCGGGGCTGGGGGTAGAGTCTTTGTGGGGATTTGGAGGAGTACTGGGAGGGGGAGAAGGGGCAGGGCATGGGGTGGATGGTGAGTGCTGTGAGGTGAGGGGTACAGCAGAGCACTGCGGGGACCGTTGGGATAGGATTCAGTAGAGGGAATGAGGGGATCAGGGCAGGTAGGGCCAGGTCCCTGGGTGGGGACAGACGATCATCTCTGTCCCTGGTTGCGTCCTAGGGAGTAGATGAAGGACCAGATGGGCTAAAGCTGATCTCGGACATTATCCGTGAGAAACTGGGCATAGAGATGAGTGTCCTCATGGGGGCCAACATTGCTAATGAAGTGGCAGACGAGAAGTTCTGTGAAACAACCATCGGTAAGCAGCCAACAGCCCTCCTCACTAGCAGACCTCATTTCTGATGAGCGGGAAGAGGCAAAGGGGAGAACGCGGCGCAGCTTAAACTACTCCTGTCTAGGGTGAGCCAGCCCTTTTCCCTTGTGGAGGCAGCAAGACTCCATAGGAGCTGGATGTTGAACTCATTTTCAGGGTTTGCAACGCAATTGCTCCCCTCGTTAAAAGCAGAGGTGTGCGTCTAAAAGCTGCTGCCAGCAAGGACTCCGAGCATCAGCCGGTCTCCTGACACAACTGAAAGGGACAGAGCCAGTAAGAGAAAGCCCCGCTGGGGGTCAAGTTCTGGACAAAAGCAGAAATCTGCTGGGTTTCCAGCTTTCTGCCTCTCTCAGAATCACAGAATGGTGACTTATCAGCAGGCGAGAAAGTCCATCTGACCTAAGAGACCCTTTAGGAAATAAATTGAGCTCACCTAGCTACGTTTCCCTGGGCTTCTGGGGACACTCACCTGGATCTCACGTTATTGCCAGCAGGGCTGCTTGAAAGTTCAGCCAGTGACTGTTCCTCACGTCCTCCATCCTATCTGTGACTCATGCAAAGCAGCCAAAACCAACAGAACTGTTTGCTAGGTTAGATGTTACAGGACTCAAAGTGTCCGTGTTTCAAACAACAGCAAATATGCCATGCAGGAGGCTGCAGGGACTGAAGAGGTGTAAGCAGAGTGCACCGTTATTGCTAGCACACAGAAACGCTCTTGTGCAGGGCACTGCAGGAACAAAGATAACGGCAGCCTCCAACCCAAAGGTGTCTGAAGACACCTTTAACCTACTGGGCTCATGTCATTTCTGTCCTGCTCTTCTGGGAATTCCAGGGTTGCAACCTTGCTTATCGGCCAGGTGATGTGTGCATGGCACTTTGTGTACCTGCAAACGTTTAGCAACATCCATCAGTTGGGTAATGGGTTCTTCTTGCTGCAGTGTTCCTGCAGCGTGGCGCTTGGAGTTACACCGGTGGGCAGGAGAACAGCACAATCCTGCTTTAGGATCGCCTCCATCGCCTTCCTCCCACTCCCTTTGTCTTGTCAGGCTGCAAGAACACGCAGCACGGGCAGATGCTGAAGGAGCTAATGCAGACACCAAACTTCCGGGTCAGTGTGGTGCAGGAAGCGGACACCGTAGAGATCTGTGGGGCTCTCAAGGTGGGTGAGCCGCTTGGCAGGGTTTGCAGGGCTCGGTTAGCGAAGCTGACAGTTCTCGCAGGCTCTGCAGGGAGCTTTGGGGAGGAGACTGCCGGTTGAATGAACCCTCTGGATATTGCGCTGCGGCATACTGAGATAGTTGGGCCAAAGGCCAGACTTGGGAGACAGCTGCACGCATGTCCTGTTCGGCTGCTCAGAGAGACAACGGTCACTAGCAAAGGCAAGGGCAGGCAGGAGCCGGTGCTTGGGATCACGCAGACAACTCGTGGACATGGCAAAGCTCTGGGCTCTGCTGGGAACCGATCCCTCTGTGCCTTTGTCCTCTTCCAGAACGTAGTGGCTGTCGGGGCTGGTTTCTGTGATGGGCTCGGCTTTGGGGACAACACGAAGGCTGCCGTGATCCGTCTGGGACTCATGGAGATGATTGACTTCGCCAAACTCTTCTGCAAGGGCCCTGTCACCCCCTCCACGTTCCTGGAGAGCTGCGGAGTCGCTGACCTCATCACTACTTGCTATGGCGGCCGCAACCGCAAGGTGGCTGAGGCTTTTGCCAAGACAGGAAAGGTGAGCAGAGGAGGGAGCAGGCAACAAGGGAACATCGGGACCTGTGGGCTCAGTTGGCAGCGAGGTGGAGTTGACTAGCACTGTGGTACCCTGCTTCTGCTGGTCCAGTGCCACAGCCTGGCTCCGGGAAGAAACACGGGGCAGAGGATGGGGTTGCAGGCTCCAGCTCCCTCACTGTTTGATTGTTTCAGTCTATTGAGCAGCTGGAGAAGGAGATGTTGAACGGGCAGAAGCTGCAAGGTCCCCAGACATCTGCTGAGCTGCATCACATCCTCAAAAGCAAGAAGGTGGTGGAGAAGTGAGTGCTCCTTGGCCACCTCTCACCTCCCACATCCGCTTTTTGGGGGGCTGGGCTGGGATCTTTCCTGCAGATGTGGGAGGGGAACCCCCTCCCCTCCCCAACAGCAGTCCTGCATGTCACAAGAGAAGTGGAGGTGCTTTCGCTCTGCTTGCTCTGGTCACAGGGCGGGGGGGGTGACTTTGTTCATCTGCCCGTAGGTTCCCCCTCTTCACAGCTGTGTATCAGATCTGCTACGAGGGCAAACCTGTTGCTGACATCATCAAGTGTCTCCAAGACCACCCTGTACACATGTAAGGGAGCTCTGCCTGCAAAACCATTAATCCAGCTGAGAGGAGCAGAGAGCCCCTGCCTGCACCACCTTGCTGCTGCTACAGCTTTGTAAGGAGTCTGGATTTCTTGGGAGCCTTTGCAGAGCGCTGGAAGGGCAGAGGTTCCCTTCCTCAGCCCTGGAGACTGCCAGCCTGAGTCTGGCATCTGCACGGAGGTACCTGCTGATCTCCCCCTCTCTCTGAAGGGCTCATTTAGCTTTTGCTGCTGCCTAGGGTCTGTCCTGAGGAAGGCTGGGCATCCTCCTCCTTTCACTTCCTCTTGCCGTGATGGATTCAGTTCTCAGTGGGACTCTGCCAGGCCATCTTGGTCAATACGGGCTGCGCAGGAGGCACTGTCTGTGGGGATAAGCTTTGCTTTTAGCCCCATGGGGCCACTTTGCGTGATGCAGGTCCTTTCCTGCTTTCTGCTGTTCCTTTAGGCTTAACCACCTCATGGAGAGGGCACAGGTCCCTGCCACGCTCCCCCAATATGAGTGAAGTTCCTGAGGACTTTCGAAGGGGGCGAGAATCACTCCTCTTTCGAAGGCACGCCAGCACAGAAAATAGCGTTCTTTGCCACCCTGCCACATGCTGCTTCCCCAGCCGCCACCAGCTACTCCTGGCAAACAGCACGGTCAATGCTCCACACACGTGAGGGCAGCTCCAGGGACTCCGAACCCTCGGAGACTTCAGAGCTGCTTTCTTCAGCTTTTTGCTCTCACCGTCAAACCTGGCCTCCGCACCAGGGAACTCCTCTTTTGTCACAGATTTGCCCGTGCTAGTTCCATGCCAACTGACTGTCCCTGGATGGCCTTCCTCCCTTGTATCTGTTTGTCCTCTGTCTGCTTTGGCAATGCAGGGACCAACTGCCCGAAATTCTTTCCGAGCAGCTGGCAGGCTGTGAATCCCTCAGTGGTGTACCTGCCAAAGCAGTTGGGCCATGTTGCTTTTAAATAAGTGATCCTCAGCAGCTTGTCACCTTCTCTCTGGCTTGCTCCAGTCTGTGGCTTAGTCCAGTCTTTGCTTCTACACGTGGCTTTATAGGAGCCGAGACAACAGGTTCCTCACTTTCCTTGCTGTCCCTCCTGTGAGAGGTCTGGAAACCGCCTGCCAGCTCAAGGGGCAGCGATGGACATGCGATCCGCAAGAGGTACAGGGAGACTTCCAACATCGCAAGAGAGGACGGGGTCTCTGTGCCTCGTGCTGTGCATTGCGCCTTTTAAACTTGCCCCTTGTCCAGCCGCTCGCCACATGCCTCTCTGATCCTCTAAAGCTGGCTCGCTCTGTGCTCGTGTTTGCCCAGGCCGGCGTCCAGCGGTTCACTGATCCCTGTCTGGGCTGGCAAGCGGGAGCTGCTGCTGGTCTCGCTGTCCACCACAGCTCCGGGTCCTAGTGCCACTGGGTCTCTGACTAGCAGTGTACTTTGTGAATGTTTAAAATAAATTTAGAGAGGGGAGACCCACCCTTTGTTCTGTGGTTCCAGTGCATCATTGTCTCTGGGCTTGTGCCTGCTGCGCTTGCTCAGAGTGCAAAATAGGGCACTGTCTGCTCCCTCCTGGCTCTGCAACCTTGTATGGTGTCCCGGAAACAGGTGAGAAAGCCCCTGCGGGACAACATCCAGTCACAGCGTAACTCTCCCACTTGCCTTTTCTCAGCAGTGGTTCTGGTGTCAAAATTTGGCTGTAGGACTGAAGAGGGTTGAGATTGCAATGCTTAACTGGGTACAAAATCCTCACTCTTCTATGTGGGACCTGCTGGAGCAGGGCCAGGACCCCACGGGACCATCTGTGCCCCAGGCTCCCTTTCTCCGACGTCTCAGCTTCTTGGGAAATGCCATATTGTTTTAAGGATCTCTCCCCAACTTCTTTTCCCTGCTGGACTTGCTTCGTCCTTGCCTTTCTTTGATATACACTTCGCCCTGAGCAACCTTTCCAGGACTGTTAGCCCTCCGCTCAGCCTTTTGCTAGGGCAATTTAATCTGCTAGCACTGCAGTTGTTTCTGTGCCTTTTATTAGACATGCATTCTCGCTAGGCATGCTACGACCTTTAAATTCAACTGACCTATCGTACAGAAAGTAGCCAGCATTGGCTTCCTCTCATGAGGAACTTTAACTGGAGGATAAAGAAAGTTCAGTATCTTCCTACTGGCTTTGCACAATTTCTAGTTCCTTTTGTCCTAAGTGCTTTAGGAACCCCGGCTCAAGTGTTTGGACATGAGATGCTACTCATCCAGGAGAGCGGTGCTCTGAGCTTGCTTTCTTAGCATGACCCAGTCTCTCACCTAGGCTTGCAAAGATCTTGCCAGCACCAGCCCGGAGTTGCCGCAGGATCTGTAATTTGGCTTCAGCCTTGCATTTAGCTGTTAGCTCATCTAATGTAGAAGTGCTTTGTGCATCCTTCCTCCCGAGGGTTTTCTCCGATACAGAATCACAGATACTAAGCTGTGCTGGCAGTAACTGAGTTTCTATAGCCACTATCAGCAGTTTAACAGCACCCCGGTCTCACCTGGGGGTGTCTAGAGCATACGCATCTCTTGCTTTTGAAGGCAGTCCATGCCTTGCACTGCTGCGGGGGCTCATTAGCTATAAAAAGTCCTCCCTTTGCCATTTGGAGTTATGTTCTGCGGACTCAGCACATCCAGGCGCTGCAGGGCTTGGAAGCCGCCGCTGCGCAGCAGCCCGGGGCAGGGCAGGGGAGAGGAGGAGGCCTTTCTCGGTGCTTGAAGGAGCCCTCGGCCTGCAGCAGGGCTGCGCCAGCGGTACGACTTTCGGAGGAGCACGGCCTCGTCGCATCGCCTTGAAGGATCCTCTCTGGCTGCGGCACGAGGCGGGAGGCCTCCGCCTTCCTCGGCGCTGG